TTATTAATCTAGTGCTCGGATTATAGAATCCCCCATGTAACCCTCCATCTAATTCCTTCTCACTGTCCCTGTTACATAATACCCTTCTCCCAATTAGGCATCCGGGGAATCTTGGGGCTTGCTTCGGTCCAAGCTGTGGCTTTTGGTAAGGCAGGAGTCTGATCATGGTCAGGGTTGCTGTAAGCTTGACTTCCATGTAAGGATTGGCCTAAGGGATCCTAAGAGCTTAGGGTTTCGGTGTTGGGGGTTTGGGTTTAGGGTTTANNGGTTTAGGGGTTAGGACTTAGGGTTATTTAGGTTGAATCGGGTGGAAAAAGCAAGGGACAACGAAATTCAAACTGGGATTTGGATGATCACTTCTGGGGTATCCCTAGTGTTTTTGAGAAATGACTGTGGACCGAAGTCATGCCTGTATATTCCCTACAGTGCCATAAACAAATAACCGTAATGGGGCCCGTAAATCTATCCCAGTTTTCTCCCTGCAAGAACCTGCGATTCTTGCAGATCTGCAGATTTCTGCACATATGGTGCCACGTCGTATTATCGCGAGGGCATCTCTGTAGGATACACTGGTCCTCACATAGAGTAAGAGGATATTCCCATTTCGGTCATGAGTATTTATATGCCCAAGGCACAACCACAATGCATCCCTCGTCTTCTGAGGATGTTCCCAAATCTGATGGGCATCTGCTCTCTGCTGGAGGTCCTTCTGAAGCTTCCAGATACGTTGGGGTTTCCAGAATGTAGGGGTGCTTTAGAGTTTTAGGGTTTAGCCACATGATAAGGGTCGTAGACATTCGGGGTCTACATTGGGGCCCCCAAATCATTTGAAACCCTCACATGGGTGGTTCTTGCTTATTGGTTTTCCTTCCATCGGTCTATCAACACAATCCATGGCAAGCGGGGAATTACTGGCTGTCTTGGTTTAACAAGAGCCAAGGTACACAGGGTTTCGCGCAGGTGCGCCTAGTGCGGATGGCTAACAAGGCATGAGGGCGTCTGCAGCAGCGCCCCGCGAAACAAAATAGCTAAGTGTAGGAGTGTTCTTCATTTGAAGCTTAAAATGTTCAACAAAGTACTGCAAGACACTGTAATGTTGGGCCTGCTTTAATGTTGGGGTAACAATAGGGCCGTCCTAAAATGGAAATTATGGGTCCCCAATAAGAGCCTTGGAAAGTCTCGTGTAAGTAGTATTAATACTAGTATTAGTATTAGTACTAGTAGTAATGATAGGTATAAGGATGACTGAGGGTCAGCGGATAAAGGGTTTCTAAGGGCTCCGGGATTGTATGCAGAAACAGCTTTACCGTTTAATATTTTTAGGGCCTAGAAGCAAAACACATCAAAGCGGACTTTGCATCATTACCCCTGGTGGTTAATAGCCGAGGGCCCCAAAACACATTATAGCAAGCGGGTCCAACATTACAAGGCATGCACGGTCTGCGGTGCAGGCATGAATATCCCTCCGCGAAATTGTAAGTATGGAAGGGAGGAGCAGATCCCGATAGTAGCTCCTTCATAATCTTCAATACTATAGTACTCAAAGCTTCCATTTTCCATCTTCTCCTTACCATTCCTTTTTCCTTACTAACAACCAGCACGTTCACCGTAAAGATCCTTGTACTTTGCAGAGTAGCGGATCCTTTTGTTGAGGCACATCTTGTTCGGAAGCTTATTGACTTGGATCATCAACAGGGAGTTCTTCTCCCTGAGGGTTCAGCGTGATAGTGATTGCAAAGGAAGCCTGCAAACTCTCCACGCAGCATTCGCAATGATGTGCCAGGTGACAGCAACTTGGAGGCGCCATGGGATGCCAAGGGCCGCAGAAATGTTTAAAGTAGTTCTTTCCAACACATATCAAAGTCCCCCCTACCCAGGTAATGCTGACCTTTACATGTAGTAGCACAACAATTCTGAGAGCATTTAGGATACTCGGGGGCATGTTTGATATGAAGGGATTTGCAGAGCAACAAGCACCAGCATTGTGCTAGTGTCGATGCCCAAGTTGGTTGTGGCAGCCAGAATGATGCTTGAGCTACAATCAGGCAATGATGGGAATACTGGATTGAAGGCGCAATACAGTGAATGCCTGTACTTGCCTGAAACCGAGCATTCGCAAAACGCCACCACTGTCCCCACCGCCACCGCC